GCGCAAGGTTTTCAAAGAGCGCGAGTGCCGTTTTTTGAGCGCGCTCGTGAATCTTGCACCTTGCATTACTGCAAATTTGAATGGATTTGAATTTTGTTAGTATGCTTATTTTAAGCAAGAAATTGTAAATCCTTGGAAGGAGTGACCTGGACCTGTTCATAAGGTTTTACTTTTACCCAGATCTCAACCCCTACAATTGATTTAAATTTAAAAAATAAGCGCCTCTTTGAAGACGCAATAAGTGGAGAAATTGAGAAAAATATTCAAATGGCAAACTTTGCGTGATAAGTGAACTCCAAAAAGTTTGAAGGTTGGAAAAACTAGTGGTTATGCAATCAGGAAAGTTTTGGAAAAATTAGCTATAACTTCATTGGTTTGTGGTCTAACAACTCCTACTATGTTTCTATAGAGGTTTTTGAGACCCCTGTTGTCACTCGAGGTGGTCATATTTAGAGGTGAAAGGAAAAAGGGCTTCCTCCTCGGTGAAAGATGAGCAATTTACTGTTTCTGCATTTGATAACAGCAGGGATTTTTCTGTTATCAAATGCAGAAACATTAAATTGCTCATCTTTCACCGAGGAGGAAGCCGTTTTTTCTATCACCTCTTAACTCCTACTATCTTTTCTAGTCGATTAAATAATTTTAATAATAATTGTATTCTTGACCATTTGGAGCATTAGGCATATTTTGTATTGTTGGAGGCAAAGAAAAAAAATACATTTTGATCATAGTAACCGAGAAAAATCACTGACTTAGTATTGAGAATTTAAAACCCAAAGAAACCACTCGAAACGGGAAATAATTAAATAATTAGTACTGCGACTAATCGCCTTGACGTGGAATTACGTTCCGAGACAACGAGATATTTGAGACAAAGCTGGTGTAAAAAAGTTAGAAAAATTCCTGTTGTGATAATAAACAATTTTAATTGGACAGATTGGGGTGGTTTTAAAGAATTTTAATTTTGGGAAATTTTCGCCCTCAATTAAAATTGTTTATTATCACAACAGGAACTTTTTTATTTTTGTCTCAAATATCTCGTTGTCTCGGAACGTAATTCCACGTCAAGGCGATTAGTCGCAGTACGTACTAATTTAATGACTTAGTATTGGTTGTTAGACCATAAACCAAAGTGCTTTTAAGTATTTTTCAAAACGTTCCAGTTTGCAAAACCTACATTTTCACACCTTCAAACTTCTTTTGTTTTCTGAGCTCACCAGTCTTGCTACCTTTGGCCCAAAGGTTATCTACTCATCTGAATATTTTTCCGAGTTGCTCCAGTTATTTGCCTTCAAAAAGGTTCTTGGTATCTTAGTATGAAGTATTTTTAAATCAATGAAATAAAGCTGTGACAAATTTTCGTATTAGTCTTATTAATTGAAGTATGTGTGCGGTGTGACTGTGACCCACAAAACTTTAGCCTGTTTATTTCCATTTCTCACACGGCTGCTGACGGCTGGTTATAAAATAACCATCAACTAAAGAGCAAATAATTCTTATAATGCAATTTGTCCAAATATCCACTGCAGCATGAATTTGGCATCGATATAAGTTATTTGTTTTTTCCAATAAACTAACCAATAAATATAATATCCCAGCACCCAGGGTTGGAAAACGTAATGACAAGTGACTATAGTGAGAGAACTAACAGTATAAAATAAATTTTACTTAATAAATATTAATTTTTTTTAATGAAATGTAATAATTAATTATAAAAATAAAAATTAATATTATTGTTCTGAAAATTAATAATATTTGATATAATTAAAAAAAAATTATATAATAAATTTTACATTATTAAAAATTGCATGCAAGTATAGGGCCAAAATTAAAAATTTAATTTTTTTTTATATTCTTATTGTTTTTTACTAATTTTTGTTTTGCAACTCTTCTTAGGTAATATTTTTGGTTAGTAAATGAAGTTATATCAACCTCAGCTACAGAATTTCAATAGGTAATAAGTTTTTTGTGTCTCCTGTAAAATTCATGGAAATTCTCACCAGTCAAAATAACTGTTGGATATTATGACTGGTGGTCATAATATCCAATTTGCGACAGTGGGACTTCAGTCAAAATACCGCGACAGTGACGATATTATACACCAGCCATACATAAATGTGTACGTGAAAAGTGCGGCGAGAAGGTTAACTTGTTTGACTGGACAAAGTGATCTTAGTTAATACGAACCAAGCAGCAAAAATCTTTAAAAAAAAAAATGTTTTTCTTTCCAAATTCTGCTAACTTGATTTTTAGTTTTGGTGATTTAGTGTACAAAAGCCCAATCAATGGTGTATGATATAATAAACACTTCAATTTCAATTCATTCATAAATGATAAATGAAAAAAATATTATTTAGATATTTCCAGAAGAACTTTTGAAATTTCTTTTTATCTAGGAATTCAATAAGGGCAAGCAAGAACTTCCAAATTATTCCCTTTTTCCGATTGTCTGAGTCCAGCGTGGGCATGTAATAAGGCTTGCATTGAGAGCTGCAATGATTAAAAGCAACAATTTTAACTAATTTTAAGGCCTTGTTATGCATATTTTCTTGCAAAAAAACCTTCTGTTCTGTCTATTCTTTTCCATTCCCATCGTGTGCGCCACACATTTTCAACTCCATATTTTCCGTCAGGAGGCCATTTTTTCCCACTACCTGATTTCATGGCCATCCATTTTAGAAGAGGAAATGAAACTTTCGGCGCGCGGAGGCAAAAATCAATTTACTCGAGCGCACGATAAGGTGAAATAATTGAGCCCGAACGAAAAGAGGATGTATCTGTGTAAGGGGGGCTGCATAACAAGCAGGAAAGCAAGGGGGTCCATCGCTTCTTCGTTTGCATTTCGCGTGTGTCTTGGCGAGATAACAAGGCAGCAGCGGGGGAGCGAGTGCAACACTCTCCAGCACATAATGCGGTCCTCTTTCTGGCGTCGATACATCACTGGACCCCCTTATGCAACCTGCCTTGCACGCGACCCGAGCGTGATGCATATCGTCGGCTACGCGGCCAAATGGCCGATCTGGTAAATACCCCTGTGGGGAAAATGGCTAGTAGCCACTTTCCCCGTTGGGGAAAATGGCAGATGAGCATTTCCGGACAAATTTTTTTTATTGTTCCAATGCATTCAGTGTAAAAATCTGCATCAGAAATAACCATAAAAGTATCAACTTTCTCAGTAGATGTCTCACTATCGCGAGTTCAGGGAGCAAAAGTAAGGCAGTGCCACGCCCCCTATACCAAGATCCACAGCAAGCAGGCAGCATTCCCGCTTGCTGAATAATGCCAAAATTGTTTTAAATGCAATAAATGTTAAAAATAATGAAAATATCGAAAATATAAAAAATATAAAAATAAAATTTTAATAAATTTAATAAAATACCTAACATTAAGTAGGAAGTAAAATATCAGAATAAGCTGTAGTTTCGTCAATATTGTTTTCCAAAGTGACAGCTTTTTCATGCATTTTGCATGATAATGCAAATAATTCTTTAAAATAGATATAATTTTAAAATTAAATAAATAGTAAAAAATAGATTTTTTTATTAAAATATTTGACATGCGACCAGAAGCTTTATGTTGTATCCGAGCTAGATTTTACTTCACTAATTATTGCAATTTATAGTAAGTATTAGTAAAACTATTCATGAGATTATAATTAGAAGTGACGCCGGGTCATGTGAAATAAGAAAAAAATGCTTTTAATGCCAAAATTGTTTACTATTGTGCAAATAAAAGAATAAAATTTATATTAATTTAAATAAAATAAAATAATAAAAATATTATAAAATACGATGAATTAAAATAAAATTATATTATAAAATATAATTATCAAGTTAAATTGAACAAAGAAAAGCAGGAAATAATCGCATAAGTGGTTTAATTTCGATTGTATTGTACGTTTTACTCTTTCAGTGTGGAATTAATTCCCTTTAAATTTCTTACAACAGTTGTATATTAAGGTTTAAAAGAAAATTAAGTCTACCAAATTATCTGCAATAACATGCTGAACTTTGGTTCAAATTTTGAAATCTGAACATTAAAAATTGGAGCAGATAATCAGTTTTTTGCTTCTCCTGTAAAATTTAAAAAAAGGCTCATCTGCCATTTTCCCCAACGGGGAAAGTGGCTACTAGCCATTTTCCCCAAAGGGGTATTTACCAGATCGGCCATTTGGCCGCGTAGCCGACGATATGCTCTCCTCGACGGCGCACGCACTTTTGCATTCGGACGTGTTTGCCTGTGTTTCCTCGTGTAATTGCATTTCTTTTCCCACAACGTCAAGCCCACCCTCGGTGATCTACTAGTTTGTTCCGCCTGGTGTGGAAAGGGTCCGCTGAACTTACAAATTAAAACTCAAGCATTTATTTTAGTCTGTAGGCAAGAAATATATATTATGTTTTTGAATTTTTGAATAAAAATATACAACTTTTCCTTTTGAACAACCTGTTTCCTGTGTGCTGATTTTTTTAAATTTTTTTCAATGTTTCAATTTCTTACATAATTTCAATTTTCAAGCATAAACTAAAACTGCTGAAATCCTAGACACAGATTTTTTTTAACAAAGAAATTTCATCACCCTGAATCTGACATAAATATTTAATTTAAATTCTAAATTTACAAAATATTTTTTTCTGCTGTTATTATCTGTAAAAATTTAATTTCAATAAAAAATTAAATACTAAAATGGAAAAAAAAATTAAATTTTTTTAATAATTTTCAAAATAACATTTAAAAAAATGTAACAAAATGTTGTTATTTTTAAACTGTTTTTAATTTTATTTTGAAAAAATACAAATAAATTTAAAAAAAGAAGAATATTTATTTTTTTGTTTAAAAAATCAACCATTTTCCCTCAAGTCTCAGCCACGCGCTTTGGAATTTACCTAAATGATATTTTTTCTCAGAATTATTATGAATTATATCATACAAAGATTTTAATTTAGTATAGTTTATTTCTAAATATATCTTCCATCTGCATCAGAGTAAAATCTCATTCCTCTTTAATGAGCCTTGTTGGCCGTGCGAATCCTTCCGAGTGCGTTTTCGACCCTCGCCTTGATCTCCTCGAGCTGCTGGTCCATTTTGGCCTCGTCGAAGCTCTTGTACAAGAACTCGGTCTGCCGTCGCTCGCGGGCCGACGCGGTCGACAGGGACCTCTGCCTGCGGATGTTCTGCATCACCTCCTTGTGGTGCTCCTTGCGAGCCCTGCGCGTCTCCTCCTGTTGCTGCTGCGCCTTCAGCTTCTTCTCCTTCTCCACGCGAAGGAACTTGCGCACCCTGAGCGCGGCCTCTTTCGTCCCTGGGAGGAGGGAATCGGCCTTCAGGGACTTGGCTCTGTGGACGGACCTGCTGTTCTGTCGACGTTCAAACAGCTCAGGGTGTTCCCTCTGGAACTGCAGAGCACGCTGGGCCGCCAGCTCGTGGTCAGTGGTGGTCCTGAAGCAGCTGAAAAAAAATAATTATCAAGGTGAGAATGGAAAGTTATTAAAAATATGATTATTGATATTTAATTTGAATAAGGGCAGAAATAACAAATTACTAAATTGATTTGTAAAAATATCTCAAAAGATTTAATTAACCAAGTGATTTCTTTGAAATTTTATAAAATTAAAATAGAGTTTAATTATATAAGTGTTTATTATAATGTGTGTAAAATTTAGCACAGTTTTTTCAATTAATAACTTACTTTCCTTGAACAGACTTTCTGAATGATTCAGAATGCAGATTTAAAGTCAATTTTACCTAAATGTAATTGTTTAAAATTTAAAATATCATTATTTTCTTATTTGAGACAAATTGGTTTTTTCTTTTTTTATAAAAATTTATTAATTTTTGTCAAAATTCTTACTTTTTGTGCTCTTCGCTCCTTCGACGGAGGCTCTGCTGGAGTTGCTCTTTCTCCGTTTCCCTGCGCCTCTGGGTCTCTTCATCCTCCAGAGCCATTTCATCAAGGATTTTCTGCTGCCTCTCGAGCAGCTCCCTCTGCAGCCTGGCCTTTCTTTCGTCGTTGATCTTCTTCTGCTCGGCGGCGAACAGGGCGGCGTCCGTGTTGCTCGCCACCTTTTGACGCTGCCGAGGTTTGGGCTGGTGTTTTTGCTGTTCGCGCTCCTCTCGTTCGCGTTCCTGACGCTCCTGCTCGCGACGGTCCGTTTCTCGCTTTTCCTTGACGCGCCACGCGGCCTCCCGGGCGTACATTTTCGCCAGAAGTTGATTTGATTCGCGATTCATAATGCCGAGACGCGTTTACTTTACCGACGAGAAACGTTCTTCGGAAAGATTCTGATGGCGAATTCAAAAAATTTGCAACAATCCAAGTTTTTGTTTGTCATTATTGACCAACGGAGATTCTTACAAAATTTTAATATATTGTTGTTTTTATTTTGTTAAACAATACTGTATATTAAACAACAATATATTAAAATTTTGAAATTATTAAAATTAATAGATGAAACTTCAAATTTTCACTGCGGCATTAATAATAATTAGTGCAACTAAAAATATATTCTTAATTTTACTTAACTTTTTATAGGGTTTGAAAATGACCCTTTTTTTAGTTTTTGCTTAAATATAATTCTGTTTTTAACTAAAATTTGAGCTAATATATATTTGGAAACAGACAATTATTTAACTACATTCTCTATTCATTGCAAACAAAGAGAATGGTTCAACAAGTACACCGCAAGATCCACTAATGAATAAATTTCAATTTCAAGCGACACATCGCAATCTCCTAGAATTAGGCCCGAGTGTTCCGGCGAAAAGCTGGAGGGCGTCTGGTGGGCGAACGAGGCGCCGCCTGCCGAATACAAACTAGAGAAGCTGTCTACCTTGTCCTCTGTTTGATTAGTTTTAGATGCGCAAATTGACAGCAGCACCAGGCGGCGTGTGCTGCTCTGCCTCCGGATGAGAATTAAGCTTTAAGAGAGAGAAGAGAGAAGAGCACCTCGTGCCAAGTTACGTGCTTGAAATCGCAAACGCGCCCCCGACGCACTCTCTCGCGCCCGGAAACAATTCGATTCGAATTCTATTTTCCACGCAACACGACCTCCTCGAATTAACTTTTTAAAGTACTGCATAAATAAAAAAAAAGATAAAAAACCAAATTAAATCTATTCTGCTTTTACTTTTACAGCATAACTTTCTGCTGAAATAAATTATAATTAAACAATGAATGAAAATACAACAATTAAAGAGTGTAAATATTTTGGAAGGTTGGAAATTTAGTCAGCAAATATAAAAAAAAAATGCTTTTTTTACTATTAACTTAAATTAACAATGAATCTAAAAATTGATCCTCAAATTTAATTTAATTCCTTTAAACCCTCACAAAAAATAAAATAAATTCAACATTAATTGCAAATCACATTGGGAGGTTTGGTGGCCACTTCTAGTAAGCAAGTTATTAAAACTCGTAGCCCAAACTTGAATGCAAATGAGTTTTTTTTATCAATTTAAATAAAATTGTCCTGCAGGAGTCTAGTTTTTCCTTTCAAAATGACGAGATCAAAAACAAATTGACCTTAATTTAAATTGCTTGCAAAACTTTTCTTGGTTTTCTTTCCTTAGTAAAATTTTTATTATTTTTTATTTCAGGATCTCTGAAGCACTAAATTTGCCTGAGCCACAATAAAAAAAAACAAGGAAGTTGCTACTTGCAATAATATTTTATGTACCAGAGTTTTCTTATCTCGAGAAAAAATGAAAGCCACCAAGATTTAATTCAAATTTTTATCTGAAAAACTTCCTCTGCTCGCATTCAAATCCTCATTCTGCGCGGGTTCTGGACCATAAAATTATTCGGCAGAACAATATAAGAAAAGTCGTAAAAACGTTCAAAGGAGAGATTTTTCCCCGTCTAATTGCAAGCGAAGGGAATGGCGGAAAGATTTCGTGCGGAAAAATTGTTAATATTCCGGCCGCGCGCGCGTTCTCGAGATTTGCATAATTTAAAAATTTAATTGTCTAATCTGGAAACAGGCAGCTGCTTTTTTTATTATTCACAAAGCCTGATCCCGTGATGGATTGGCTGAAAACACCAGTTTTTAAACGCACAGGGTAGTCCATAATATTTATTCAGAAAGCTGCGCTCGGGGATTTGGCAATTTTCCGGCGAACACAAAGTAAGTATGCAACCCTCTGTTTGCTCTTGCCCCTGAATAAATCCGGCGTCTACGCAACATCTGCTGCCGAGCACACAATGCGCCCGAGTGATTAAAATTACATCGCAGCATCCATCATCCGACTTGCACCTTGCGCGCAACGCGAGGTTTTAATTAAACACTCTTAATTAGCAGCGAGATGCTCGAGGGTCTTTGACGACTTGCTCGGGCGCTAATTTTCCGCGCTTCCCAGAAAATTCGACTCATTACCACCCTTGCAAATCGCAAGAAAATACGCCACCTGCGAGTGAAAAGCAAAAGGCGTGAAAATTCAAGTTCGGCTTGACACGTCGCAGAAAGTTAGTCTGAAGACTTTTGACAAATTACACTTCCAACATGCTTCGTCACATCGTGATTTTTTTTTAGTTGTCATTAAAAACAATCATTTATTCTAGACAAGTAAAACAGTTTTCATTTAAACATTTAGAAGTGTTCTTCTAAATTCATTCTTACGTTTTATATTTTTAAAAAAACGATTCCAATGGTTTAGTAAAAAAATGTTTAAATAATAAACTATTTTTTCCTTTCTTAATTGAAAAATGTGTCCTCATATTAAAAAATTTTAAGTTTGTTTCCGAGTCTTTTTTTTAATAAAACAATAACGCCCGAGCTAGAGGACTTTTGCATGTTTTGCATTTATGAATTATTTGGACACTTTCTCGTGGACTCTTTTACTCATTTTTTTTTCTTTTTTTTTAAGAATCATTTTAACTCTTACGTTTTACTGTGTGCTAAAGTTAGAACAAATATATTAAAAAATGCTCCATGCACTTTTTCCGTAGAACAGAAAAAAATATTTGAATATCTCTTTGTTAATCACACTCCTGCGGATATAAGACCTGCGCGTAGTAATCATTGTGGTCTATAATCAATCTCATTTGAGACCAGCTGATCAAGATTATGGTTTGGATCACTGTGAAATTTTTAAATAATTAATATTCAAGTCTCATTGTCAGCAGTTCCTCAACATTCAAGACTTTTTGTCGGCCAACGATTGACCTTTTGGTCTGACGTGCTGTTTTGCAATTCAACCCCTGAAAGTGCAAATTATTATTTACATTTTAATTTTGAATTATTTTATAATTGAAGAAAAATCATTTTGTTACTGGCCTATCAATGTTAAAATAGACTTTGAGGTCTTTGAGTAAAAAAGTAGTCACTTGAAGAAACGTTATTGCATTAAAAGACAAGTTTGTCCTCATTAATTTTTTTTTAACTGGGTCCAATATTGAAATTCCTCTGATTTGTAAACAATTCCCGAAATTACAATGAAGCAGTTTCCTCGCTGCTTCCAATCAAAGTGCTGAAATGCCAATCAAGCCGGAGAATATTCATCATGCTTGCACACCGATACAACAATTCCGAGAGCGTGATTCTCGGGGAGAAGGGCGGGCGGGTCGGTTTTGATATGTCGAGGGCGCGCTGACGGCGTGTTTCCCGAAAACAAAGCGCCGATGACATGCATCCTCTCGGCACATTCCTCTCTCGTTAGTCGGCAGGTATACAACCCTTTGATGAGTCTGACAGCACGCTTAATTTGTATGACAGCGACGAAGCAGCAGGGACAAAATCATCCCTTTGACTCCCAGGTATCCTTTTGTTGTTGGGGGCGCGCGGGGCGCATACCTAACTTGCCTCGGAAAAAAAATAAAGTTACGTCGATATTTTTTTATTGGATTTTTTTTCAGAAGGGTATACACAGAAATTGCACGTTGAATATTTTATAGTGCAGAGGCAAATAGGAAAATTGAAAACGTGGTGCCGAGATCGATTTTTGGCAACTTGTGGCGGCGCAACGGCAAAATTGTTTGAAAAATTCAATAGCTTGGGAGGCGGCAGGGGTGAGTCTCTCTTTTATGGGGCGGCGGCGGCTGCAGTAATCACCCGCCACACCGACCCCAGAGTCCCTTTAAACGCGTGCGTGCAGTGTGTGCCAGCGACGAGAACTGTTTGAAATCTCGCGTTAAATGACTCGGAAAGTGCTTCGAAAAGGGCACGAGACTTGAAATTCCGCCACCTTTTAAGTGTAATAGCTCGAGATGAAATCTTTCTTTCTCGGAAAAAGAAAGTGTACCGGAAGAAGACTTTTGACTTTTTTCACCAAAAAATAAAATTATTTGATATTGGAAACATTCTTGTTCAGGTGGCAGTACTAGAGATTTTTTTCTTCTTAAAATAACAAAAAAAAAATTGAGTCAAATCCACTTTATAGAGTCAACTTTTCTCAGGATTAAACAATTTAAAGATACTTATTTTAATAATTTTAAATTGAAATATTACAAATTGAGTTTATTGAAATTATTAAGAAGCATCTCAACCCTAATACATCAAATAATATTTAAAACAAACTGATTTACAAACAAGAGAGATCAAAATTCCAGACCAAAAATAACCTTGTTCCAATTCATGGAATAGAGAAATCATTGGAAATTAATTTTCTCCTTTATTATTTAATTAAATATATGAATTTGACCAACCCTTTTATAAATTTCATTGCGGATGGTATTTTATTGTGGACTTCTTTTTACCAAAATCTTTGTTAGTAATCCAAGATCCAACATCCAACATTTATTATAACTTTAAAATTCCAATTGTATTCAAACGAAAATTGATCAGTAAGAAATAACAAATTAATCAAATTTTAAGGCTTTTTATCTAGATATTTAATCAATTCGCGCTTGAACATCCCAATTCTTCCAATTTTTCTGAATTTTCCAAGTGCGGCGCTGGCAAGAGCCGTAACAACTTATTAGAAAATAATTCATTAATTATTGTAAAATCCTATCTTCAACATTCTATTTAAAAAAATATATATACATATATGCTTTTTACAGACGATGAGATAATCAAGCTGGTGTTTGTTTGCCTTTGCTTGACAATAAAGTTGACACAGTGCTTGAGCCTTTGATTAATGTTGTCGAGATAATCTCTGGCAATTATGCGCCCTGCACAAACAATTGATAGGGTGAGCCGCCGTTGTTGCTAGACAGACACCCGCGAAAGGTTGGTTGGTGCTCGCGTCGTTGGCTGGGCATA